AGAATAAGAATTCATTGCATAGGGCTGAATGAACTGATGAGGATAATTTTTATGATGTTTTGTTTCAAACATTTCTGGCTCTTTAATATTTTGTTTTCAAGATTTAAGGAAACTTATTTTTCCTCTTGAGCTATTTATAGCTTATAGCAATTTGGTAAACAAAGATGAAACAAATATCTTTTCTCCCTACCTGATCCTTCCAGAATTCAAAAACTATTTATAATGCCGGGTGCAGTGGCTCACACCTGTAATCCTAGCTCTCTGGGAGGCTGAGGCGGGCGCATTGCTCAAGGTCAGGAGTTCAAAACCAGCCTGAGCAAGAGCGAGACCCCGCCTCTAAAAAAAAAACAAAAACAAAACAAAACAATTTATGAGTAGTCTCGTTCTTATGGCAATATAGTTATTTACGTAAGTTCAATAAGAATTTATTCTCCTTGCAACAGGGTACAATTGAAGAAATGGTTATATTACCAAGGCTTTGAATGGAATGTCATATTTTCACATATGACAACTTTAGAAACTAAGGTTGACTTTTTGAAACCAATAAAGCCCCTTGGGAAAAAATGGCCAGGTACTTTGAATACCTGGGTCACATGGTTGCCTTGCAGGTACATAAGGAATGTCACTTCCTGTCAAGCCCAGGAACCTGAGGATATTTGGGGGAACTTGACAAGAGAAGAATTCACCCAAATCTATAGGTATTGCAGGCAAAATATGATCATGAGACCTTGGCTTGGTTTCTGAGCCAGGAGAGGCTTTTTTGTTTGTTTTTGAGACAGAGTCTCGCTTTGTTGCCCAGTCTAAAGTGAGTGCGATGGTGTCAGCCTAGCTCACAGCAACCTCAAACTCCTGGGCTCAAGCAGTCCTCCTGCCTCAGCCTCCCGAGTAGCTGGGACTATAGGCATGCACCACCATGCCCGGCTAATTTTTTTTTCTATATATATTAGTTGGCCAATTAATTTATTTGTATTTTTATAGTAGAGATGGGGGTCTCACTCTTGTTCAGGCTGGTTTCGAACTTCTGACCTTGAGCAATCTGCCCACCTCGGCCTCCCAGAGTGCTAGGATTACAGGCGTGAGCCACCGCGTCTGGCCCAGGAGAGGCTTTTAAAGTCCTATCTGAATTCCTTATCAAAAGACTCAGCAAAGTAAACTTAGAGTCTATATGGTCAGTCAGGATTGTTGCTGTACTTATGTAAATGATGAGACCAAGTTTAATGAGGCTAAACTTATTTTACAAACAAGTTAGTCTTACTTTGACATCTTTGATAGAAATGGAGGTGACTATAGAGAGAAAAATTGTGTTTTGGAAGAAAATTATAATGCATCCATTATCAGAGTTCATTGTTTTTTGAGGTTTTGATATTTACGTACAAATTAGATTGGATCCTGAATTCTAGTTTCCTCCAACATCTGGCTACAACTCTGTAACCTAGTATCTCCAGTCTCTCTCTCACCCTTCTGGCTTATAACCACTGAAAATTAAAACTGTCCTTTTCTGGCTGGGTGCAGTGGCTCACGCCTGTAATCCTAGCACTCTGAGAGGCCAAAGCAAGAGGATGGCTTGAGGTCAGGAGTTTGAGACCAGCCTGAGCAAGAGCTAGACCCTATCTCTACTAGAAATAGAAAGAAATTAGCAGGACAACTAAAAATATATAGAAAAAACTAGCAGGGCATGGTGGTGCATGCCTGTAGTCCCAGCTACTCGGCAGGGACTACTGAGGCAGGAGGATCGCTTGAGTCAGGAGTTTGAGGTTGCTGTGAGTTAGGCTGATGCCATAGTACTCTAGCCCAGGCAACAGAGTGAGACTCTGTCTCAAAAACAAAAACAGAAACACTGACCTTTTCCTGAAGTCCTGCAAGCTGAAGCTGGACAACTTGATATTAACTTCAGATAAATCACAGCAGTTCATGTACAGACAACCTTCAAAACATACAAACTGCAAACCAGGGAAATCTGTCAGATTGCTACAGCCCATCCTCGCTCCCTCCAAAGATGTTTCGGGTCCTGTACCTGGAAATCTTCTTGTCTCTTGCCCTCTGGACTCAGAAACTGAGTTTATAGTTTGTTCCAACTATTAATCTTTGTTTTTCTTAAATTTAAATAGAAATTAAACGCATCTCATTAAAGGGCTGACAGCTCGCACCATCCAGCAGATGATTCAGCTAGCCCTTGCTGAACAAAAGGTGACCCAACAACTAAGAGGACTGACAAAGAGTCTTTGCTTGGCCAAACTTTATTCAGCCTCCGGAACCTTCTCCTAGGTAGGCCCTTGTATACTTTTTTGTAAAATCCAGTTTTACCAAAGAACCTTGCTAATTCAGTTTAGCAAGTACCCCCCCACACACACAGCCTCTGGTTTCCCCCAATACCTGACCAGGCTCTTCACTCCCTGCCGCCCCCCAGGTGGTGTCTGGTCTCCCCGGCCTGGCTGCAGCAGGAATCTGTGAGGTCAGTTGAGCCAGAGTCCCCCAAACTTGATGTTTTCTCTTAGTCACTTTCCATCCAAGACCCCATCCTGCTCCTTGGGTATAAATCTCCACTTGTCTGCGCCATACTCAGAGATGAGCCCAGTGTCTCTCCTCCACTGCAAGACCCGGTTGCAGTGGTCCCTATACCTATGGCAGTGGTCCTGAATAGAGTCTTCCTTGCCATGCTTTAACAAGTATCATTGAGTAACTTTTTCTTTTAACAGTATCAATGCTAACTTCCTGATTATAATCATTTTGCTGTGGTCAGGTACAGTGCTAACATTTTGGGAAACTAGTCAGCCTGTGGCTCACACCTGTAGTCCCAGCTACTTGGGAGACTGAGGCAGGAGGATTGCTTGAGCCTAGGAATTTGAGGCTGCAGTAAGCTATGATTGTGCCACTCCACTCCAGCCTGAGTGACAGAACAAGACCTCATCTCTTTTTTTTTTTTTTTTTTTTTTTTTTTTCTTTTTTTGGGCTCCAGGATTGATGGTATGGACCTCATCTCTTAAAAAACAAAAAAAAATTGGAAGAAACTGGGTGGAAGATATTGGAATTCTTTGCTCTATTTTTTTTAATCTTTTAGCAAATTGAAATCATTTCAAAATGAAAAAGTTGATAAAGTGAGGAGAGGTGCTGATGAAGCTAGAGGCCTGTGCAGGTGCCCCCCCCCACACCTGCTCAGCACAGGGCAGCCCACAGTGGGCCCTGCTGTGCTGGAGCGTCTGGGTCCTGGTCTTACCAGGGTGCCAGCCTCCCTGTGGCAGGGCTAGGCAGAGCCCACAGGAACTCGGCACGCAGCCATCCAGCTGCAGTGACCTCCCACGCGTGGTTGGCTGGTGAGAGTTAGGGCTCCACCAGCCCCAGTCAGATTTGAGCCATCAGACCTGCCCACACAATCTGGGACAGGCCATGTGACAGAGGCCCACACTGTGGGACCTTGGCTGGCTCTGGCATGGCTGGAGGCTAGAGCCTCAGCCCATCCCAGGCTGAGGGAGGACCCTTTCCTCTCAGCAGCCCGTGTTTGCCCCTCAGCTCGGCTCACCCATGAGCCGGGCCTCTGCTGGAAGGCCCGGATGATGCTGTCTCCTGGCAGACACCAACAGACGAGGTGCTGGGGCATCTGTGGGCAGGCCCAAGGCCACGCTTGCTCACGGACTTGCCTCCACGTCTGCACAGCTCAACTCAGCCACCTCAGGCCAGAGGGCGAGGCAGCTTATGTGGGAAGGGGCATCTGAGAAGGGGGAGAAGGGAACGCATGATGGGGACTCAGGGGTCAGACCATCTGGTGACAAGCACAGAGGACTGGCTAGGTTGTGCTGGGGCCGGGCCCAGGCCTTCCTGGGCAGCATGTCCAAAGCTCCTCCAGAAGGCCCTGGGTTCCCAAGGTCCTGAACCCTCCTACCGGCATAGGCCTTGCCTTAAGGGACTGGCCTAAACATGGGCTTGGGAAGCACTGGCACCATTAACCTTGGTTCCAGTGTTGCCCTGGCCAGGCATCAGCACAGGGGCAGGCAAGAGAGGGAAGGTCCTTGCCTTCCATTCTGATGGGGAGACATGCAAGAAACGATCCAAACGCACGACAGGGCAGACGGTGCTAACTGCCATAGGTAAAAGCAAAGCACGCATGAACAGGGAAGACTGCAATTTTTTTTTTTTCTTTTTTAGACAGGTTCTCCTCTGGGAGGCTGAGGCAGGAGGATCACTCAAGGTCAAGAGTTCAACACCAGCCTGAGCAAGAGCGAGACCCCATCTCTACTAAAAACAGAAAGAAATTAATTGGCCAACTAAAAATACATAGAGAAAATTAGCCAGGCATGGTGGTGCATGCCTGTAGTCCCAGCTATTTGGGAGGCTGAGGCAGGAGGATTGTTTGAGTCCGGGAGTTTGAGGTTGCTGTGAGCTAGGCTGACGCCACGGCACTCACTCTAGCCCGGACAACGGGGTGAAACTCTGTCTCAAAAAAAAAAAAAAAAAAAAAAAGACAGAGTCTTGCTCTGTTACCCAGGCTAGAGTGCAATGGCATCATCATAGCTCACAGCAATCTCAAACTCCTGAGCTAGAGCAATCCTCCCGCCTCCTGAGTAGCTGGAACTATAGGCACGAGCCACCACACCTGGCATATTGTTAGAATTTTTTTTTTTGTAGAAACAGGGTCTCCCTTTATTTCCCAGACTGGTCTCAAACTCCTGACCTCAAGTGATCCTCCCACTTCAGCCTCCCAATTGCTGAGATTATAGTCATGAGCCACCATTCCCAGCCTACAACTTTAAATGGGATGCCTTCCTGAGATTTTAACAAAGACCTGCAAGAGGTGAGGGAGAGTGCATTTGGAGTTTATCAGTGGAGGGGACGGTGAGTGCAAAGGCCTCGGGGCAGGAGCTGAGCAGAGTGTCAGGCTGGGAGCAGTGCCAGGTACTGACTGCAGTGACACCAGCATGGGAAGACACCGGTCCTGCAGGTCTCTTGTCCTGTCCTGGCCCATGGCTCTGCCGTTCCGCCTGGCTGGGAACCGAGGGGTCATTATGCTGTCTCCCCAAACCTGTAAGGTAAACATCACAATCGCATTCATCTGTTCAGGCTGCCGTAACAAAGCACCAAAACAGAACAGCGCAGACAGACATTCACTGTCCCAGTTCTGGAGGCTGGACATCTGAGATCAGGGGGCAGAAGGGCCCTGCCCCTCTGAGGCTCAGGAGAGGCTCAGGCCTCCCTCTGGCTTCTGGTGCTGCCTTGGCGGAGGCAGCAGAACTCCAGTCTCTACACATGGTCTCACTGTGCGTGTCTGTCCCTGTGTCCAAATCTTCCTCTTTTTATACGGACACCTATCATCTTGGATGAGTCCACCGTGTGGCCACATTCTATCTTGGTGCCCTCTGGAAAGACCATGTCTCCAAACAGTCACACTCTGAGGTGCCAGGTGCAAGACACAAACGTATTGTTGTCAGTGGACACACACACCTCGATGCATAACAACAACGGGACCTCGGGCTGCCCCGAGGGGGCAGGGGCCAAAGCTGCTGGGGAGCCCCGGGCAGGCTGCCGCAGAGGGACCCGTGACAGGGCTTAGAGAGCTCTCCCTGGGCAGGTCTGGTCTCTGGGACAGAGGGGACACTGAGGGAGGCACTTCCTGAGGGCGGGGAACCTGGCCGGAGGTGCTGGCACAGCACACGGGGCAAGGACGATGCTGGCAAGAGGGGCAGCGCCCTGAGTTGGGACCCTGTCGTCCTGACTCAGCCAGACACACATGGGACTTGGGTCCTCCGTTTCCCCTTGGCCTTGGAGGCATGGGCTGGGTTGCCACTGGGAACCCTGCTCTGAGTTCAGAATGAGCCATGGAGGGGATCAGGCCCCAGTGGCATGGTTGGGGCAGGGAAGCCCCTGCTCCTCCGCAGGCAGACCTGCCACATGCCCTTCCCAGGCTGGGAAGCCCTCTCGCAGGTCCACACCCACCCTGCAGTCATGACCCCAGAAGGCCAAGTTGGCAGGGGTTGCAGAGGCAGGGAAAGCCTGGGGCAAAGTGTTGCATATAGGGAACCCCTTATGCTTGGCCCAGCCTAGGGACGCACGCTCCAGAGTGCCGACACACGAGGAGCTTCTAGGGCTGAGAGAGGCCAGCCTCCGGCCTGCCCTGCTGCCCCTGTTGCTATCCCTGGGGCCTCCACAGTTGGTCTGGGGAACAGGCCACCAGGCGTCTCCCTCCAAGGGTCCCCATGGGGCTCCCACAGCCACCTGGTGAAGCCCGGTACCTGCCGTGTCCCACATGCATGCGCTCTCTCGCAACAGAGGAAGCAGAAAGCCTCGTGCAGGCATCCGTGTGCACAGCCACTCCTGCTACCTCCTGGGACACAGGTAAGGGCCTCGAGACGCACACACTCACCACAGCCGCGGTTTATTATCAACAGCCGTGTTCAAGGACAGATTCCCTGAAGTCCGACCCGCTGAGGAAGAGGGCAGGGCTGGCTGGGCCCACTTGCTGACACGGCTACCAGAACCCACGGCCCCCAAGTGGGCCAGCAGGGTCCCGAGAGCCCCAGCACACACGGAACCACCCAGCACGCCGGGACTGTCCAAACACACGAGCTCATGCAGTGCACAGCTGGACCACTGGCTCCACCACCACGCCTGTTTCTGTTGTGAGGGTGGGCTTTCCTCAGCCTCCCTGTGCCCGTGTCCACACGGGGCCGGTCTCCTCTGCAGGAGCAGGGCCGGTTGCTAGGAATCAAACCACACCCGTGCCCTGTGCTCCCCAGGAGGGGGGCCGCTTTTAAATGAGAGTCTACTTATGTCATTTGAGCAGAGCAAAGACTCACCGGCCAGAAGTGCGTGACGGGTAAAAGGTACTCCCCGCCTGCTTGGCATGTCAAGTGCGTGTACACGTCTGTGCAACTGTGCGTGCACACATGCCTTTGTGTGGTGCCTATGCATGAACCTGTGTGCATGCCTGTGCACGTGTAGGCACGTGTGCACGTGCCTTGTGTGTGTGCATGCGTGTGCCTTTGCACATGGGAGGGGTAGGCCCAGGTGTATTCACGCATTCACGGCACCCCTGGGCCCATCCCAGACCTGGTGTCAGACTTTGCTGCCTGCCATTGGCATAAGGGTGGACCCTGAGCTGGGCACGCGGACACAAGACAGGAAACACACAAATCAGAGCCCCTGATCCTGGGGGACGCTGGCTGAGCCCCAGGCAGTGCCATGTGGCCAGGGAAGTTGCCCTTCCAAGCTGGCCCTTGAGGCAGGGGCTCCTATGAGCCTGCTGGCTGCACCCGGAGGTGGGGTTAGCTCTGCAGAGTGAACTCATGCGTGCTGATCTCCCAGCGAGAGGGGTCCTTGTCCAGCATGCTGCGCTCAGTGAAGGTCACATGGCCGTCTGCGTCCACGAGGATAATGGTGTTGGTTCTGAAAAACAGCGCAGGCCACAAGGTCACCCCACGTCCCTCAGCCTCTGCCCTGCCTGTCAGAGCACAGCTGGAGGGGCCAGATGGAGGCAGGGAGGGGCAGCCCCAGCCTTGGGGACGTGGGGGCTGCCGAGGGCAGCTGAGTGCTGAGTCCTGTTGCCTCCACTCTGAAACGGCCCAGCCTGCCCCCGCCACTCTCACACGGCAGCCCCTGGGCTGACCATGCACTTCTCCACTCAGGGCACCAGGCTCCTGGACACTTGGCCACGCCTGGAAGCCAGAGGGCTTGACCTCTGAGAGGCCGAGCCCTCAACTGCCTGGGGCCTGCCCAGGCCTTCTCCACCTGGAAAACTCCCTCCTGTTCCTCTCCCTTGCCACCCAGGCCAAGTCAGTCTGCCCAGGGGCCCAGCGCTCCCCCTCCTCTCCTGCCCTCGCCATGGCGGGTCCTGACAGACAGGGGCAGCCCCAGCACAGGCCGCCACCCAGGGTGGGCACACACTGAGGGTTCCCCACGGGCCTGGACCCAGCGGCCACGCAGCAAGCCGGGGGCAGACCTGGCGCCTGCCTCCCCCATGCACATGGATCCGTGTCAGCAAACATGTTAGTCGTGAAAGCAAGCCTGTGACAGAAGAGGGGCCGGAGGGAAACCCACCGAGAGGAGAGCTGGCACCACGCAGGGGTGCAGCCTGCGGGCCTGAAGCCACAGTGTTGGCGTCTGCCAGTGTGTAAGCGTCCCTGATGCCATCCCGCCCCTTGTGACTGTGTCTTGGCTCCTCGCTGGCAGGGGGCAGCCTGGGAGCCCACAGAGGAGGCAATGGAAGCCCTGGGAGCCTCGAGCTCGGCCTGCAGGGCCCCCAGGAGCCCGCAGTCAACCTGGAGTGTGCTTGCCGCCGCAGCTGCGTCTAGACAGGGCAGAGGATCTGGAACCCACTCAGCAGGGGAAGGAGCATGGGGAAGCTCGCTTTCTTGGCTGGCCCTCCAACTGGGAGGTGGGATGTAGGATACGGAGGTGGGATGCAGGATAGGAAGGTGCTGCACTGGCAGCCCCGTCATACCTGGTGCCGTAGCCTGGGCAGCGCACGCACACGGCCGCGTACTTGTTCAGTATGGGCTGCACGTACTCCTGGCCCTGGTCCTCAATGGCCGGGTCTGGCAGCTGCCTGCAAGGATGGGGGGGAGTGGCTGTCAGTACCGCCTGCAGCCACGTCCAACAGAGTGGTCCTGCCTGCCATCCTGGCTGGCTTTAGAAAGTGGCTGGGAGGAACCGTGTGGATTATTCATCCACTTTTCTACTCAGAGCTGCAAACCTCCATCTACCCTTCTACCTAGTACTCCATCACTGAGCCTGGGCCCTACATGGCACACACCTTCCCCGCCTGCCCTGAGAAGTGCCCCGTGGGCATCTGTCCACTCCAGCCCTGTGATGTGCCAGACACCACAGCCAGTGCCCAACGACAGCTGCCAACAAGAGCAGCCAGGGCCCGTTGCAGGCCTGCCCAGCATGGCACAGGGATCGGGGGCCGTGTGGACTGATAGCTGGGAGGGGGCTCCCCCGAGGGGGGATACTGAGGCTGAAGGCTGGAACCACAGCTCAGAGGCCCAGAGCAGGAGGCTGGTGGGGAAAGGAGCGGGAGGCAGCCATGGGGGCTCCTCTGAGGAGTGGGCTGGACAGGGTGGGAGTAGATGCTGGGTCGCCCAGGCAGGATGGTGGCCAGGCTGGGGGGGAAGGGAGGGACGTGGGGGCCACCACATTGGGTTGTAGGAAGGCTGGCCGCCCCCGGCTGAGTCCTGGGACTCCAGCCGGGGCGGCCAAGACTGTGATGCCAAGACTACAGTGCCCAGCAGCCAAGGTGCTCACCTAGAGGCTGCCTGAAGGGCCTGGGGGCCTACGGCAGAGGGAGTAGCCAAGGGTCCTCCCCTAGGCAGTTCCTGCGTGGCGAGTCCCTGCCTCCCACTCCACCCACAGTCACTGGTGACAGAGCATGTGGGAGGCTCCGTCAGTCAACCTGGCCACTTGCTTCTGTGGTATGTCTCTTCTCCCCAGGTTTGCTGAGTGCCTGGAATCTTCCAGAATCTCCCAGTCGCCCTTGGCATACAGACGGGAGCATCCAGCTGCTGTGGACCCCACGTGAGCCTCCATGGAAAACCCCAGGGCCCAGGCCCGGCAGTGCCACCGCTCATTGGAAACCGCAGCTGCTTACGGGGGCAGGTGGGAGGCAGAGGACAGAGTGTCCATCAGGGCCCCTGCAGCTGTGACTCGGCCTGGGCACCTCCACAGGCCTCCCTCCTCTCTGCCCCGGGAGACTCACGCCTCTTCGTTGCTGAGCACGTCCAGGAGCTGGGCGACCAGTACATCCTTGGGCAGCGCCTGGCTCCGCGCCACAGCCTCTTGGAAGAGCTTCTTCCCGAAGCACAGCTTCCTCCAGGGCGTGTCCAGCAGCGCGTTGCTGAGCCCGTAGACCCCTGTGGGGAGGTCAGCCTGGCCATGCAGAGGCCCCACTGTGCCATTACAGGGTAAACCCGCCCTGCCCAGCACTGGGGGAGGCACCAGGGCTACGGCCAGGCTGGCACCGTCAGACTAGCCCAAGCCACCTCACATTCCGGCACCTTCCCTACGCCCATTCCAGACCCACGTGTATGGCGAGGGGTAGAGAACTCAGCACAGGGCAGGGGCCCATGGGAGACCCTGGTGCATAAATGCTAAGCAGTTTGGGTGGAAGAAACAACTTATAATCCAAAGGGGGCAGAAGGGGGTAGTGGGAAGGGAAGCGCCTCCAACCTTACCTGTCTCTCTAGGAGCAGGGTGGGGGCACCTGAGCAGTCCGAGGCCAGGAGGGCACCCACCATGGTCAGGGCCAACTCACGTCAGCAGTCAGGAAACCCCAACACTAGGGACAGGCCCACCCAAAGTGTGTGGGCAGGGCCTCAGCAGAGCAGGGCCCACCTCTGCATGCCAGCCAGACCCTGGCTGGGGCACCAGGGGCTGGGGGGTCTTGGCACAAGGACTCTGAACTGGGGCTTCTCAGAACAACTTCCTAGAGTGGTGACAGAGGCAGGACCAAAAGGAAAAGGTTTCTTGTGTCACGAAAGTGAGGGGCACAGACTTGAGGTGGACAGGCCCCTCAGAACCTCTCCTCCAGAGGCCCAGGCGACGGGGGCGGCCTGCTCAGAGCTGTGCGCCCTAACGATGCGTTGAGAACACCAGGGTGCCACCCTCTGCCCTGCCAAACTCCTAGGTGAGGATCTTGACCAAGTATGACGTTGCTCCAGATGCTTCCCAGGGACACGGCCCTGGCTCTGCTGGGGCCTCCCGCCATGCCGCCCGCCCAGGTGTCGTGGCATCTTTTCCATCAGGAGTGACACAGAAGGCCATCCAACGGGGTCACCACATGCAAAGAAGGGAGCTACCTCACGCCATGCACAGAAGTTAAGTTAGACCAGAGACCTAAATGAAAGCTAAAACTATGAAACCCAAGAGAAAACAGGGGAGAAGCTTCGTGACTTTGGATGAGGCAATGGTCTCTTAGCTCAGAAACCAAAAGAAAAAGGGGACTTCATCAAAGTTTAAAGCTTTGTGCTTCAAAATACTCCAGTAAGAAAGTAAAAAGAAAGCGCACAGAGTGGGAGGCAATTTTTGCAAATCATACATCTGATAACGGACATGTAGCTAAAATGTACAAAGAACTCCTGCAACTCAAAAAGTCAACCAATGAACACGTTTCTCCAAAGCAGGCACGTGAATGGCCAGCAAACATGAAAAGGTACTTGACATCACTCTGTCAGGAAAGCGCACGTTAAAATCACAGTGAGATAGGCCGGGCGCGGTGGCTCATGCCTGTAATCCTAGCACTCTGAGAGGCCAAGGTGGGAGGATTGTTCAAGCTCAGGAGTTCAAAACCAGCCTGAGCAAGAGCAAGACCCCATCTCTACTAAAAATAGAAAGAAATTAGCTGGACAACTAAAAAATATATATATACAGAAAAAATTAGCCGGGCATGGTGGTGCATGCCTGTAGTCCCAGCTACTGGGGAGGCTGAGGCAGGGGGATCGGTTGAACCCAGGAGTCTGAAGTTGCTGTGAGCCAGGCTGATGCCACGGCACTCACTCTAGCCTGGGCAACAGAGTGAGACTCTGTCTCAGGAAAAAAAAAATCACAGGGGACACTGCCTCGCCCCCACTGGAACGGCTGTGAGCGCACCACAGACCACAGCCGGTGTTGCCGAGGGCTGGGAGGAGCTGCAACACCCACATGCTGCTGGGATGCGAAACAGTGCAGCTGACTTGGGGAACAGCTTAGAAGTTCCTCGAAAAGTTACCCAGAGCTCCCATGCAGTCCAGCAACCCCACTCTCGGGTACACAACCAAGGGGAATGAGAACACGGCCACACAAACGCTTGTTCCTGTGGGTTTGCAGCAGCAGTATCCACAGTCAAAACGAGGAAACACACCCTATATCCATCAACTGAAGGATGGACACGAGAGAGCCGGGAACACGTGTGTCTGCACAAACACGTTTGTAGCAGCACTGTTCATGGCAGCCAAAGGGAGCCGCAACTCAAGTGTCCATTACTGGAGGATGAGAGAAACAAAACAGCGTCTACACCGCATGGTATTATTCAGCTGTAGAAAGAAACACGGTACTGACTCAGGCCACAACCTGACAGACCTTGAGAACACTAAGGGAAAGAAGTCAGTCCCCCAAACCACGTACTACACGATTCCATTCATATGGCGTGTCTGGAACAGGCAGATCTTAGAGACGGAAAGCGGATCAGAGGTTGCCAGGTCCCAGGGGAAGGGGCGAGGCAGTGACTGCGACTGTCCTGAATTAGAAGGAGGTGACGACTCTGGGAGAACAAGGTGGCGGATCGCTGGAGGTCAGGAGTTTGAGACCAGCCTGAGCAAGAGCGAGACCCCGTCTCTACTATAAACAGAAATAAATTAATTGATCAACTAAAAATATATATAGAAAATATTATCCGGGCATGGTGGCGCATGCCTGTAGTCCCAGCTACTCGGGAGGCTGAGGCAGGAGGATCACTTGAGCCCAGGAGTTGGAGGTTGCTGTGAGCTAGGCTGACGCCACGGCACTCTAGCACAGGCAACAGACTGTGACTCTGCCTCAAAAAAAAAAAAATAAAATAAAGAAGGAGTTGATGGCCACCTGGCTTTGTGAATGAACGGAAACCTACTGAATGATACTCTGTACCTGGGTAACGTGGGTGAGCCATGCTATGTGTGAGTCACATCTCAATGAAGCTGTCATTCAAAAGGAAAGAGTGACACTGCTCAGTGGGGGAAGGCTGAGGGGTGGTCAGGGTGCAGGTGGAGAGAATCTCCCCAGGACAACTTAGCAGACGAGCGTTTCTAGACGCAGGGTCTTGGGCACTGAGAGCTGAGGGCGTCACGGGATGGCTGCAGCTGCAGCTGCACCCCGGAGCCTCTGGGCCACTGTTCAGACTTGGGGGCTGATGGGGCCTCTGGCCCCTTTTGTGCCTTTTAGTTCCGTTCTCTTCCAGGCAGTCACAGGCTCAGGGCAGCCCAACCATGTGCAGACCATGAGGCCAACTCTGTGGGCACAAACCACCTCACCACGCACCCCGACCCCACAGTGCGGAGCTGACGGGAGGCCCCAGGACAGACACAGCAGCAAGAACCGGCCAGAATAATCCTTGCCGAGCTCGGGACCAGCCAGGGCCGTGTCCCTGCCTCACTACATGTGTCTGCATCCACACCTCGTCACCTGGCTCTCGGGAGCATGCCTGGGCCTACTTTGGCATCCACATCTCCGTCCAAGGTGTGGAAGGGAGGACCAGGGTCACAGAGGGTGGCCACGGAGCACCTAGCAGCTGGCAGGATGAGCCCCGCGTGGAGGAGAGGGTACCAGCAGGCATGTGCAATGGCACCAGGGTGAAATGGGGGAGCCAACTCCAGGCAGGTGCCTCCTCCGAGGGTCTCAACTGGCCTAGGGCATCCTGGCCTAGATGCTACCCCAGCATCAGCCTCTAAGCCACCGGGCCCACCTATGACCAAAATGTCACTGTGAAGATGTGGGAAGCTAGGAGACAGCCCTGGTGTGGGCAAGGCAGGGACCACGGGACTCAGAACAAGCCCTGGCCGGGCGCGGTGGCTCACGCCTGTAATCCTAGCACTCTGGGAGGCCGAGGTGGGAGGATTGCTCAAGGTCAGGAGTTCAAAACCAGCCTGAGCAAGAGCAAGACCCTGTCTCTACTATGAATAGAAAGAAATTAATTGGCCAACTAAAAACATATATATAAAAAATCAGCCAGGCATGGTGGCGCATGCCTGTAGTCCCAGCTACTCGGGAGGCTGAGGCAGGAGGATCACTTGAGGCCAAGAGTCTGAGGTTGCTGTAAGCTAGGCTGATACCATAGCACTATAGCCCAGGCAACAAAGTAAAGCTCCACTGTGACTTTCCTGGGGGTGATAGTCTGTCCTGGAACAAGACACAGACCACCTTCCGCCTGACGTGGCTCACAGGGTGGGGCAATGTGACATACTCTGCCCAGGTGGGGGGACTGGCAGAGGAAGCTTCCAAGACATTGCAATAGTCAAGAAGGGCGGGGATGGAAGGGCACACTAGCAGGAGGGTCAGGCCAGGCAAAGGCACAGCACCAAGAGGCGGCCCAGTGGTAGAGTATGGGTGGGGGGAGGGGGTCAAGGCCCCAAGGATGCGGACTGAGGAGCAGACTGGGACTGGGCATGGGAGGTGTGCATTCATGCAGGGCTAGGGCACAGTGTGCACCAGGGAGGGGCCCTGGCGAGAACCCCGGGTGGTGACAGCCCCAAGGCTGAGAAGGGACAGGCAGGGCCCAGGCAAACTCAGTGGTACAAGGAGGTGGGCGCAAGGTGGGGCGGGGGGAGGCCAGCAGAGCTGCAGGGCTACGGTGGGAAGCCCAGTGCAGGGAAGGCCGTGGTGAGGATGGCAGGGAGGGTGCAGGTACAGGCCACGGCCCATGCAGACCAGAAGGCGCACCAGTGGCCAGAAGCACAGTCCCGGAGAGCGCTGCAAAGGGAGCCAGGCCTCCGAAAAGCACAGGGGTGTCCCCTACACAAGAGCAGCCCCCCCGCGCTGTCAGAACACCAGAGGAGGCTCACCTGGCGTCAGGACAATGGGCTCCGGCTCCCCACGGTTTCCGTAGTAGCAAATGACATCTCCCCTCGCCGTGCTGCGGACCCCAGGGAGAGATGGTCAGACGGGAGCCATGGGGCATCCAGATCCCAGCGCTGCCCAGTGAGCCCACAGCACTGTCCCTGGGGCCCCAGTTGGAACCAGCACAGCCCACTGTGGCCAGGCCAGGGGTGACTCAGGGCCCCAGGCCCTCAGGGGCCTGGACGGCAGGGGCGTGAGGACCCCAGCTGCTGTCCAGCATCATAGGTGCACTCCTGGCTCATGCTGGGGACCCCCAGCCTGAGCAAGAGCAAGACCTCATCTCTACTATGAACCAGCAAGCTGGTTTTGAACTCCCCCAGCCACGGCATCCAAAGAGCCTCCTGCCTCGATGCATGCCTCATGGCATGGGCTTGCACGCGCAGCCTGTGGTGACAACCACAGGGCCGTGCCCCACTCCACCATCACCACCCTAGCCACAAGGGCTCATCTCCAAGGCCTCTGGACAGATGGCCCCAGGGTGATGGAGATTTCAGAACAAAGAGCCAAAGATCTCATTTTTCTCTTCTCTTGTGCTAAGCTTACACTTTAAAATAGTTCCGATGCACCCGAGTAGAAAACGGTCCAGTTCCTCAACACTGCAGGAAGCCTTCTAGAACTTGGAACGCCTTTTGTGCAAACTAAAGAGGGACTCTTTGTGGCCTTCCCAGGCCCGATGCTGGACAGGGAGCCCTGTGCCTTCAGAATAAACGGACACAGGGAAAAGGCCATCATGGGCACCGGAGAGCCCTCCCTTTCTCTGAGGTGTTGCCCACCAGGCAGCAACCACCCACCATGCTGAGCAGCTTCTGGGACCCCCAGTCTGCATTCATGTTCTTACTTACCACGCCCGGCATTTGGCAACTCTCTTAAGATATTTGGCTAATGATTTCAGAGATTTTCTTTGCAGGCAAAACGCTCTTTTGAACTTTTTGTGTAAGGACCTGTAGAATTGGCACCCATGCTGGGGCCACTGCCAGCGGCGCCTCAGGCCAGGCAGACGGGAGGTCTGACCCACGATGAGCCTCCCTCCCCTTCCAGGCCTTGGCTTTCCCACTGGCACCAACTAGCAGGGCTGGTCACTGACCTCCCACACCACTGTCCTCCAGCCTCTGCCCTGGCAGGCACCAGCTTCTACCTGACCACGGTCTGCTCTCTGGACACTGTCTGCCCTCCTGGGAATAGGCAGGCAGACCCCGACCCTGCAGTCTCTGGGAGCCAAGAGAGCTGCCCAGGCTCCGAGGAGCCCAAGCATCCCCCCACACTGTAGGCGCCATCTGTCTACGCATCCACTCAGAGAATGGCACCCTCGGCACCCAGCCCTGACACGGCTCCCAGGCACCGAGTCCCACTGGTGGCACAGCCACAGCCTGGTCTCCTGGGGCTGGGTCAGGTCTAAATGGAACTACTGATAGTGCAAAGTGATCCCCCAGCTTGGGGAGCACAGAGCACAGAGAACAAGGACTTTGTCACCAGGAGCTGTGCAGCCCTGAGCGGGGAGGGGGGCTCCAGGCAGCGAGTGCCCAGCGCCAGGCCCCACCCTTGGCCCTCCTCCCAGGGACACTGTGACTGCACAGCCTCCACCTCGAGTGCACTGTCTGTGAGGTGCAGGGCGGGGCTGGGTGTGCCGGGAGCCACAGACATGCAAGGCACAGTGCGCCTGGGCGCAACGGCCATGGCACAGGCCATGCACCCACCCTTGTGGAAGGTGCCGTCTCAGGACGGGCATCTGGACACAGGCTGGCCACCTGCCTGTCCTGGCGGGAGCCCCAGCCCTAACAGCATTGGGAGGGGCAGGGAGCTGAGGGTGGGGGGCGGACAAGAGGAGATGCTCACAGCTCGGCAGGGCGAAACACATGGAACCTCTGCAGTTCCATGGCCACACCCCTCACACAAGCTTCCCCAGAGCACCCAGCCTCTCCCGGCCAGGACTGCCCGTGGTGGGCACACCCAGCTGGGGCCATTTCACACAGCTGCCCTCGCAGTCTCAGCTCCTGCCGGCAGCCCCCACACTGGCACGGAAGCCCCCTGCTGCACTCCCGAATCCCCACGCTGGTGGATCTGGGATGGGCAGGGTCCTCGGGACACCCGCCAAGCCACTGGGAGGGACATGCCTGCAGGGGCTGCCATGGACGTCACAGCACTCCCCAAGCGGAACCGGCTTCCCAACGAGCCTGGGGGCAAGGCCGTCGGTCCTCCCTGCAGACGCACCTCAGGTCAGCCGCGACAAGGTTGAAGCCGTTGTACAGGTGGCCCTCCGCAGAGACCTTCTTCAAGTAGGACAAGCTGTCCACCCCAGTGGTCAGAAAGTGGGTCACCAGTTCACCTGTGGGCAGGGGCAGATGCTGTGGCTGAGGCTGCGGGGAGCAGCCCCTCTCCCCAAGAAGACTGACACGGGGCCCCCTTGGGAGGACCCGGGCAGGCGGGGGCTAGACGGGAGCCTGGCACGGGACAGCGCTGCCAACCAGCCGCACCTCCTTGGCCAGCCTGCCACAGAGGAGGTGGCACTGAGAACTCTGCTCGTTTTGGTTTTTATCTTTTTAATTTTTATTTTAATTTTAAATAAATTTTTTTTACTGTTTTTCTTTTTCCTTTGATTTTTTTTATCATATCATTTTACTTTTTTTTAGCATGAGGTGCTGGTTGATTTATTTTGGTTTTTAAAAAATTTCCCCCCGTTATGTCTCCACATGGAAATCCAGCACAAGTAAAGAAACCTTCAGTGGGGCGAGATGCACCCACAGGACTGCCCTCGCGGAGACGCGCCCGCAGGACTGCCCTCGCGGAGACGCGCCCGCAGGACTGCCCTCGCGGAGAAGGCACCTGCCCTGCAAACATCCCACAGGCGAGAGACAATGACACAGCGGTCAGGAGTGACGCAAGGGTGGCAGGGGTGGGGAGTCGAGCCCGGACTGTGCTCCCGAGAGGAGCGAGCCAGGCTCTGCACGGGCCAAGGCGATGCCAGAGGGCGGAGGCACGCGCCCTCCCTGGGTCCCGCCCTCCTCCTGCCTCTGCCACCTGCGCCTGCAACAGACCAGCCAGCAGTGGCCCTGTCCTGGAAGCCGCCTCCACCAGGCACGGCCTGCCCGCACCTGTATTTTGACCCCACCCCCTGCACTCCAGACCTGCCTCACGGTACCCTGGCCCTGTCACCGTCACTGGTGCACCCCAGCCACCTTACCTAGGCCCCACCCCACCCACCGTACCTCGCCCCCGGGCCTCGAGGTCCAGCCGGGGCTGCAGGTAGTTGGTGAGGGCTGCCAGCTTCCCATGCATGGTGATTCCCAGCCACGTGCCTCCTTCCTTGCCCTCTTCCATGTCGAGCCCTGTGGCAAATGACAGCGGTATCACCAGCAGCGCCACCCATTGGGCTCTGTCCCTGTCTGATCCAGAGACGTGCTGCTCGCTCCGCCCAGCTCCTCCCTCGGCCCGTGAGCACTGGTGGTGGGACGGGGGCACTGCAGGACACACTGAATGCATCCTCCCACTCAGGCCAGGTCCAGACTGGGGGACAGCACTAGGCTCCAACCACATGTCCTGGACCAAATGCAGGGCTGCTAGGTGTCCCCAACCAGCAGGACCCACGGGCCCGGGGGTGGGCACACACCCAGGCCCCCAACCCGCCCGCCTTATCCACAGGGCCCAGCCAGGTCAGTGCTTAGCCCTGAGGCCCCGCCAAGAGATTGGAGAGGCCCTGAGAGCTACAGCCGGGTGCCTTCCTAGATTAGAGGGTCATTTTTACCCAAAGATTGGGACAAAAAAAGTCTAAGTAATTGAAATGTTACTTTTATAACAATAATCAACTACAACAGAAAAAGAAAATATGTAAAGAGAGGACGACATAAGACTGTCTTTATTTGTAGATGACAGAATTATATATGAAGAAAATCCAAAAGGAACACCAAAAACAATCCATAAAAACTAGTAACTAAATGCTAGCTGGGCATGGTGGCTCACGCCTATAATCTCAGCACTCTGGGAGGCTCAGGCTGGAGCATCACTTGAGGCCAGGAGTTCAAGACCAGCCTGGGCAACATAGCGAGACCCCATGTCTACAAAAAGTAAAAATGAAAAAAAATTAGCTGGGCATCGTGATGCACGCCTATAGTCTCAACTACTTGGGAGGCTGAGACAGGAGGATCCCTTCAACCCAAGAGTTCAAGGCTGCAGTAAGCTGTGATTGTGCCACGGTACTCCAGCCTGGGCAACAGAGTAAGACCCTATTTCTATATTTAAAAAAAAGAGTAAATGAAAGCAAAAACTGGAGAATAAAGTTTTAAATATATCATTTGTAACAGAATTTTTTTTTTTTTTTTTGAGACAGAGTCTCACTTTGTTGCCCAGGCTAGAGTGAGTGCCGTGGCGTCAGCCTAGCTCACAGCAACCTCAAACTCCTGGGCTCGAGTGATCCTTCTGCCTCAGCCTCCTGAGTAGCTGGGACTACAGGCATGCGCCACTATGCCCGGCTAATTTTTTTTATATATATATCAGTTGGCCAATTAATTTCTTTCTGTTTATAGTAGAGACGGGGTCTCGCTCTTGCTCAGGCTGGTTTTGAACTCCTGACCTCGAGCAATCCGCCCGCCTCGGCCTCCCAAGAGCTAGGATTACAGGCGTGAGCCACAGCGCCCGGCCTGTAACAGAATTTAAAAATAGTAAGATAAAAACAAAACACTTAGAAAAACATTTACCCAAAAATGGTTGATACCTAAAGACAAAAGCCACAGGGCATTGTTGAGAGTCTCCAGTAGAGGTCAGGTGCCATGGCTCATGCCTATAATGCCAGCACTCTGGGAGGCCCAAGGAGCAGATCGTTTGAGCTCAGGGGTTTGAGACCAGCCTGAGCAAGAGCAAGACTAAAAAAAATAGAAAGAAATTAGCTGGACAACTAAAAACATATGTGCATGTGTGTATGTGTGTGTGTGTGTATATATATATATATATATATATAAATATTAGCCAGGCATGGTGGCGCATGCCTGTAGTTCCAGCTACTCAAGATGCTGAGGCAGGAGGATCACCTGAGGCCAGTAGTTTGAGGTTGCTGTGAGCTAGGCTGATGCCACAACACTCTAGCCCAGGCAACACAGTGAGATTCTCTCAAATAAATAAATAAAAAATAAAAAAAGAACTTGCACAAATTGATAATTAAAAAATAAACAAAACTTCCGTATCTGGCCAAGCAACAGGGACCAGATTTACCCTCTCTCTTAAAATAACCAAAAAAATAAAATAAAACGAAACACATGAAACAATGGGCTTTAGGTAAACACCAGAGAGGCAGGAAGCAAGGTAAGCCCCACAGTTAAGGAGCCTCCAGCACCCTGCACAGGGGCCCAGGCAGAGGCCAACAGACACCCTGAACTGAAGAGAGGAGCTAAGGGCCTGAGGGAGACTGCGGCAGCCGGAGTTCACGGCTGCCATGATGTGATGTTTGTCCCCCACACCTCACGTTGAAATTTGGTCCCCAGTGTTGGGCCTAAAGGGAGGTGGTGTTTGGGTCATGGGGCAGATCCTTCATGAATCGCTTGGTGATGAGTGAGTTCTCACTCTGTCCATCCCCTAGAGACCTGGCTGTTAACAAGAGCCGGGTCCCTCCGTCCTGCCCACTCCCTTCCTCTCTTGCCGCATGATCTTTGCGTGTGAGGTTCCTCTTTTCCTTCCGCCATAAGCGGGAGCAGCCTGAGGCCCTCAGCAGAAGCAGGTGCTTGTGCATGCTTCCGGCCCAGCCCTCGAACGCTAAGCCGAATGAACCTCTCCTGTCTGAACAACCCAGCCTCAGGCACTCCTCTCTGGAGACACACGTGGACCCAGGTACCAGCATGAAAGACCAGAGAGGGGCAAGCTGCACGGGGCACCCTGGAGATCTGACCAGCATGCGTGTGTGAGGAAACCACCCGGGGCCAGGGAGAGAGCCACCAACGCTCACATAGGGCAGCGGACACTGCCTGCTCCCCGATGCCAGCCCGGAAGACCTCAGGGCTCAGGCGACACTGGGAAAGGCAGATGGGGCCTCATCCAGGGTGCGACGACCTTGAGTGAACTGAGAGAGAGGGGGAGAGAGACTGAAGAGAGACAGCAGGAGACAGAAGAAATGCATTTGGCAAATGACACTGTCACAAAAAATAAAAATCAAAAAGAAAGAAAAGGCCGGGCGCTGTGGCTCACGCCTGTAATCCTAGCTCTTGGGAGGCCGAGGCGGGCGGATTGCTCAAGGTCAGGAGTTCAAAACCAGCCTGAGCAAGAGCGAGACCCCGTCTCTACTATAAATAGAAAGAAATTAATTGGCCAACTAATATATATAGAAAAAATTAGCCGGGCATGGTGGCGCATGCCTGTAGTCCCAGCTACTCGGGAGGCTGAGGCAGCAGGATTGCTTGAGCCCAGGAGATTGAGGTTGCTCTGAGCTGGGCAGACGCCACGGCACTCACTCTAGCCTGGGCAACAAAGCGAGACTCTGTCTCAAAAAAAAAGAAAAACTACTTGAAGAATAGCCAAGTTTTTACAAATTTGATGATTTGCATTTCTAACAAGTTCTCCAATAATGTTGATGTTACTGGCCTAAGCGCCACACCTGGAGAGCTTCTGGTCTAAATTTTTGTGCACAACTTGGCAATGCCAGACAGTGAGAGAACGACGGGGGCCTTAGCAGCAGTGCCGCTGGGTGGGAACCAGCAAGCAGTGGCGTGTCAGCAGCCACCAAACCACACAAGGGTGAACAGCGACGTGAGGCTAGAGCTCCCTGGCTGGGGTTGGCACCCATCCAAGGGTACAGGCCCGGGCAGCCACAATGGCCAAGGAGCCGGGCCAGGGTAACCCTCTGGCTGAGCCTCCACGTCCTCCTCTGCAAGCCCCCCACTTCCTGAGGGCATCAGCCCCTGGGCCTCACTGTGGCCTCCTGCACCAGCATGCCCTGCAGCAGCGACACGCTGCCCACCCTGTGCCCCACGCTGCCCACCGTGTCTGGGACGGCTGGGGACTTCCCTAGCTGCACCACAGGCCCTCCACAGCCCCTGCCTCTGGAAGAGCCATGGTCAGCTCAGCTGAGGGCCCCCCAACACCCTGTGCAGTGACGGGCCTTCACCTCCAGGACAGAAGCGGCACTGTGGCCCCTGCACGGTCACGCCCACAGCTGGGGCCGCAGGGATCTCCTGCTGCACGTTGAAGGCATCTCCAGGGTCTCTTGCGCAGTTCCGATGAGGCCGAGACCCAGAGCCTTGACCCGTCGCACCCAGCAACCCCAGATGCCGCCAGCTGCCAGGCCTCTGCGCCCTCCTGGTCTCCCCCCTTTCGTCCTCCTCCTCCACAGTGCCAGGGCCAGCCAGCCTCAGCAGCACCGTCCTCACACTACTGCGGGCTGCCCAGGAGTCGCCCTGTCGAAATCCCACAGCCGAGCTGTTTCAGACACCAGCGGGGCCTGGGAGGCACCGGGCACACGCAGCATCCTGGGTCGGAGAAGTCACACGCCTGGCCAGGCAGGCACCCCCATCGGCAGTGCCAGGCTGCCCTGGGCCTACCTGGCGCCGGGCCCACAGGCAGAGGGATGCCCCGCCGGGCCAGCCAGGAGACTCCTGTGCACCACACGGGCAGGAACTGCTTCCTGTCCGCCAGGACCTCAGGGAGGCTGGTGTCTGGGAGGGAAAGGGGGCCCAGCTGCCCCTCCCCATCCACCCTGCCGAACTCCCCATGGCATAGGCACAGGGCACTTGAAGTGTCAGCGCCAGCTCCTCACCTGCATGCGCCCACCCTGAGCCTCTGCTGCCCAAACTCAGGGCAGCCATCTCCGGTACAAGGGTGCTCATGCATGAGCAGCAGAAACACCAATGCAGATACACACGCATGGGCACGCACACACATGTGCACACTGTTGGGCTGTTTCCCAAAGTGATAAGAGTGTGGACTTGGACCTGTCCTTCACATGAATCTACCCATGTGCCCACGGTGAAAGGATGGGTCCAAACAAAGCCAACCAGTCCCTCTGCACCATGGGGACCCCACGTGAGGACTGACACTTCTTCCGGGCACCCACAGCATGGAGAGCCAGCACTGGGTGGGCGGTTCCAGGGGTGCCCAGTGCTGGGGCTAGCCGGGACCCGGTGATATGGTATCCACTCATGCGTCCCACGTGTGTGCTGAGACGCGGTGCCATCGCTGTCGGGACCACTGTGGGACTGTGCCAGGGGCCGCTCGAGGCCACACGGAGCAGCCACCGGCCAGGAGCGAGGGCAGACTCACCGCTGAGGATCTCGTTGTGGCTGCCCCAGAAGTCGGCTGACTTGGAGGGTCTGTTGTAGAACTCGTCCCTGTTGGCGGCCAGGATGAGCCTGCAAGAGGAGGGCACGCTGATGGTCTCAGATGGACGCAGCAAAGCCACATTTTTCTTCTCTCGTTAACATACACAATTTGCCCCAGTGCAACATGAACAAGTCCTCACTGCACCCTCGTGGGATGAAAGTCCCCAGGAAACAGGCAGGAGCCCCACAAGGACACACGTCCACAGCACTCAGCAGCAGGAGGCAGGTCCCCCGGGCCCTGTGGGACGGCCTTGGCCTACACTACCCACACCCGCGGCCAATGGCAGGGGCCAGCAGGTGAGGGGCCTACATGGCTGGCACCAAGCAAGGCCCAGGAGCCCAGGCTGGAGGGCAGAGCCGACCTTCCTCTGCCCTCTGTCCCCCTCCCTGAGAACACCCACAGCCAGCCATGGGCTCCTGGAGACACGGATTCGAGTACACAGGTTGAACAGCAGGAGTGTGTGGCCTCCAGGCGGCTCCACCCTATGTTTCATGGTGTTTGTTGTGGGGGCAAGTGGTAGGAGATGGGAGAGAGTGGATGGGGGCTTTTCTGTTTTACTAGATTTTTGCATTATGAATCAAACAAGTATTTCTTTTAATTATGAAAGACTGTCAATTTTTTTTGAGACAGAGTCTTACTCTGTCGTCTGGGCTGGAGGGCCATGGCCTCAGCCCAGCTCACTGCAGCCTCTAACTCCTGGGCTCAAGCGAGCCTCCTGTCTCAGCCTCCTGAGTAGCTGGGACTACAGGTGTATACTACCACACCCAGCTAATTTTTGCATTTTTTGAGAGATGGGTTCTCACTTTTGCTCAGGCTGGTCTCAAACTCCTGACCTCAAGAGATCCTCCCGCCTCAGCCTCCGAGACACTGCCAAACTTTTAGAGCTCTGGTTTTAAGGTAAGAAAACTGAGTTTCATGTTCCAGCTTGGCAACTGAAAAATAAGTAAGTACACAATGGGAACTGCAGGTGGAAGGGTCAGTCCCTGCGACATCAGTTAGACCCGCCGGTCTAAGAAGTCATGGCTTCAAGACCCTCTGAGTGCTATGCATGGACAGATGCATGCAACAGCCACTGCACCTCCCAGGAGCAGGGGACTGGGGGGTCAGCGTCACATTGTGAGTCGGAAATCAAGTTGCAGAGTTGAAATCCTGAAAGGTGTTTAAAAATAATTTTCACATTGATTATTGTACACTGATTTCATGAAACAACGTTGGCTTGTGGTAAAATGGGAAATAAAGACATTCACAAGATCAAGAGCGAAACTGTTATCACACCCACTGCCCAACCCTGGGAGGCCTTTCCACCTGTGTACACACAGGTGTCCCTCACGCTGCACCTCCCCTGCAGCCCCCAGAGCCCCAGGGAAATGCTTTGGACGTTGCCAGGGACTATGCGTTGCCCTGGCACCCTCAGGGTCTGCTGTGGAAGCCTCCCCACCTCCAGCGGGCCCCACCCAGCGGGCCCTGATCCCCACCTCCAGCCACACTCATCCCGCCCACACAGCTGGCTCTGGTGCTATGCCAGGTCTCGGGGTGGTGGTCACTGTCCCTGGTACAAGCTGCAACCATGCATAGAACTGTCCTCTGTACCTCCAACAGCCACATTCTAACCTGGACCCTGGCACGGGCATTCCACCGTGTCTGCACCTTGTGGGCAGAGGTGCACCCACCCCTGCAGTAGGGGCTGTAGCGGAACCCGCCTTTTCTGGCCCTAGCTCCACTCTGACCAGCCGGGCATCTGCCCAAGGCCTGCACAGCACAGTCAGGTGCACAGCACAGAAGGTGCCCGCTGGCTGTGGCCTGGACTGTGGACAGGAGGAGGGACCACTCAGGACACACCAAGGGCCAGGCTGAGAGCCCCTCCACTTCCCGTGGGTGGGGTCAAGCCCCACAGGGTCTTGTCCAGGTGTTCTCTCTTAAATACCGCTCCTCCTCTGCTGCCACGTCCCAGAGTCAGTGAGTGAGTGGGGGAGGGGGCGCCAGGGAGTGCCCTGTCCACCAGCCTGCCAACACTGCCTGAAACCAGGCTGGCGCTGTGGGCTCCAGGTGAAGGTTCCTGCATTATGCTCTGGCCAAGGAAAAATAGAGAAAAAAATTAATAACAATAGCTGACTGAGCAGAGCCTTCTGCCCTAAGATGTTCAACTGCCTATTTTTATTTATTTATTAATTTTTTAATTTTTTGAGACAGGGTCTCACTCTGTTGCCCAGGCTACAGTGCCGTGGCGTCAGCCTAGCTCACAGCAACCTCAGACTCCTGGGCTCAAGCAATCCTGCTGCCTCAGCCTCCCAAGTAGCTGGGTCTACAGGCATGCACCACCATGCCCGGCTAATTTCTTCCTATTTTTAGTAGAGATGGAGTCTCTCTCTTGTTCAGGCTGGACTCGAATGTCTGACTTCGAGCGATCCTCCCGCCTCAGCCTCCTAGAGTGCTAGAAGTACAGGCGTGAGCCACCGAGCCCGGCCAAACTGCCTATTTTTAAACAAGGAGCAACTATATGGGCTTGCCCAATAATTCATGAACATTAATTGCTAGGCTATTTTTATCCCAGGAGTCGCTGTTTGGATGAATTGCTGGTGGTTTGCCGGGGATTTCGTGGAATGTGTAACTCAGGGATGAACTGGTGTGATGAGCAACCACATCCAGCCCCAGAGGAGAGGAAATAATCCCCCCTCCCTGCAGTCCACACCAGGGGGCAGGGGCTGCAACACAAAGAAAAACCCATCTGTGCCCAGTGCCCCCAGGGCCAAGGACATGCCACCATGGTGAGGGGCTCAGAGGGCACCACGTCACCACAGACTTTATCTGCGGGTGTGCACTCTCTGGGGGATGCGCCAGTGGGGGGGTGAGCCTGTGTCCTGCCTGCGGGGGTTGCTGTGTGTCCCTTCTAGGGGTGAGCATGTGTCCCCTCGGGGGGTGAGTGTGTGTCCCGTCTGGGGGTGAGCGTGTATCCCGTCTGGGGGGTGAGCGAGTGTCCCCCTGGGGGCTGAGTGAGTGTCCCCCTGGGGGCTGAGTGTGTGTCCCGTCTGGGGAGTACTTTATCTGGAGGGGAGTGCACTGTCTGGGAGGTGAACATATGTCCTGCCTGGGGGGTGAGTACTTTATCTGGAGGGGAGTACACTGTCTGGGAGGTGAGTATATGTCCTGTCTGGGGGGTGAGTACTTTAACTGGAGGGGAGTGCACTGTCTAGGGGTGAGTACTTTAACTGGAGGGGAGTGCACTGTCTGGGAGGTGAGCACTTTATCTGGAGGGGAGTGTACCATCTGGGGGGTGAGTACTTTATCTGGAGGGGAGCGCACTGTCTGGGGGGTGAGTACTTTATCTTGAGAGGAGTGCACTGTCTGGGGGGTGAGTACTTTATCTTGAGAGGAGTGTACTGTCTGGGGGGTGAGCACGTGTCCTGTCTGGGCGGTGAGTATTTTAACTGGAGGGGAGTGCACTGTCTGGGAGGTGAGCATGTGTCCTGTCTGGGGGGTGAGTACTTTAACTGGAGGGGAGTGCACTGTCTAGGGGTGAGTACTTTAACTGGAGGGGAGTGCACTGTCTGGGAGGTGAGCGTGTGTCCTGTCTGGGGGGTAAGTACTTTATCTGGAGGGGAGTGCACTGTCTGGGGGGTGAGCATGTGTCCTGTCTGGGGGGTGACTACTTTATCTGGAGGGGAGTGTACCATCTGAGGGGTGAGTACTTTATCTGGAGGGGAGTGTACTGTCTGGGGGATGAGTACTTTATCTGGAGGGGAGTGTACCCTCTGGGGGGTGAGTACTTTATCTGGAGGGGAGTGCACTGTCTGGGGGTGAGTACTTTATCTGGAGGGGAGTGTACCATCTGGGGGGTGAGTACTTTATCTGGAGGGGAGTGTACCATCTGGGGGGTGAATACTTTATCTGGAGGGGAGTGCACTGTCTGGGGGCTGAGTACTTTATCTTGAGAGGAGTGTACTGTCTGGGGGGTGAGTACTTTATCTTGAGAGGAGTGTACTGTCTGGGGGGTGAGCACGTGTCCTGTCTGGGCGGTGAGTATTTTAACTGGAGGGGAGTGCACTGTCTGGCAGGTGAGCATGTGTCCTGTCTGGGGGGTGAGTACTTTATCTGGAGGGGAGTGTACTGTCTGGGGGTGAGTACTTTATCTGGAGGGGAGCGCACTGTCTGGGGGGTGAGTACTTTATCTTTGAGAGGCAGTGCAGCTTGTCCGTGGGGGGGAGTATCTCTTTCGGGAAGACGGAGTGCTACTGTTCTGGGTGGTGTGTGTCCTGTCTGGGGGGGTGGTATACTTATCTGGAGGGGCAGTGTCTGTTCTGGGGTGAGTAGCTTTATCTGGAGGGGCGAGTCGTTACTGTCTGGCGGGTGAGTATTTTCATCTGGAGGGGAGTGGGCAGCTTCGGGGGTTGTTGAGTACTTTTAATTCTTGAGAGGAGTGGTCACTGTCTGGGGTGAGTACTTATTCTGGGAGGAGGACTGTCTGGGGGTGTCTGTCTCTGTCTGGGGTGGTGATCTTTAATCTGGAGGGAGTGTTACTGTCTGGTGTGGTGAGTGTGATCCATTGCTGGTCGCGGTGTGTACCTTTATCTGGAGGGGATAGTCGCTCTGTCTGGGGGTGCGAGTGTGGTGTCCTGTCCTGTGTGACTGAGTGGTGTACACATCTGGGGGCGTGAGAGCTCCTTATCTGGGGGAAGTGGCACTGTCTGGGACTGAGTGAGTGTGTAGCACATTCACTCTGGGGGATGAGTCGGTGTGTACTCATCTGGGTGGTGAGTACTTTATCTGGAGGTGGAGTTGCACTGTCTGGGGACTGGAGTGTAGTGTCCTGTCGGGTATGAGTATGTTACGCATCTGGTGGTGAGTACTTATATCTGGAGGCGAGTGTCTGTCTGGGGGCGCGACGCAGTAGTGTGCCTGTCTGGGGAGCTGAGTGTAGTGTACGATCTGGGGTGAGTACTCCTTGACATGGAGGGGAGTGCCACTGTCCGGGGACCTATGAGCTGTTCGGTACACATCCTGGGGGCGGATGCGAGATGTGTG